ATAATCTTATTTTAGCAAATCAATATTGAAAGAATAAACAAAAATAAGAAACGGTGGGGAATTTCCCACACCGTTTAGCCTTCCCCAGCCAATCCTTAGCTTTCCTCAGACATTTTTAAGGTATCCTCCAGCCTTCCTCGGTAACTTTTGAACCTTCCATCGCTCCTCTGCCTTTCACAAGCTTCCGAGAATTCCTCAGCAACTCTTTAGCCTTCTTCAGCAACTCCTTAATCCTCCGTTGCACCTCCTTAGCCTTTCTAAGCAACTCCTTGGCCTTCCTAAGAAATTCCTTAGCCTTCTTCAACAACTACTTAGCTTTCTTTTATATTTCCGTGTCATTCCTTAACCTTCTCGCCTTCTCCAGCCACATTAATTTTACCATCCTCAACTTACAACAGACATTCATACTCTTTCTTAATTAAGCTTCCTCAGCCTTATTCATACCTTATAACCTCTCCGATAGTGACATTCAGCCTTCTTCATCCATCTCCTTGATCTCATGTTCTTCCCCTCTCATGCATATCAAATTATTTTATAGACTTTTCCGGCCTTCCTCTGCCTTTCTTGACCTTCTGACGTCTTCTTTAGCCTTCCACAGCCTTTTCATACCCGTCCCGACTTTTCCAAATACCAATTCTGATATTTTGCATACCCCAGCCGTCCCTAGCTTCCCCATTCAATCCCCAGCCTACGGCAGGCTACCCCAGCCACCCCCAGCCTACCCCAGCTTTCTCCATCCACCACTTGGCAGTCCTGACCTTCCAGCAGGCATCAGCCTCTATGGTCTTCCTCATCCATAGCCTCATATTTAATCCTAAGCTTCGCCCCACCGTCCCCAACCAATTTAAACCGTTCCTTTGCTTCCCCACATACACGACCGCATTCCTGGCCTGGAAGAGTTGAATTCAATCTCCAGGATCGATAAAACTTCTGCAAGTTTACATGAAATCTGAACCATCATCTAAAACTTCTTCAAAACCTGGACCATCATCTAAAACTTCCCCAAACCCTGAACCATCAAATAAAACTTTCCTAAAACTTGAACCTTCACACAAAACTTCCCCAAATCGTGAACCATCGTCAAAAACTTCCCCAAAACTTGAACCATCATCCAAGCCTTTCCAAAGCCCATGGTCTGCAAAATCCACCCTATTTTCCTTCGACCTGTAAAATTTTCCTAAACTGTGCCCAGGTCTGATTAGGTTTTCCATAATTCTGCAAGATCTGTCGAATTCTGCCTAACTTTCCCCAGAACTGCATCAACTTCCCGAACTTTCCCCAGGCCTGTACCAACTTCCCGAACTTTCCCCAGACCTGCACCAACTTCCCGAACTTTCCCCAGACCTGCACCATTTTCCCAAACTTTCCCTAGACCTGCACCAACTTCCCGAACTTTCCCCAAACCTGCACTAACTTTCCGCACTTTCCTCAGACCTGCATCAACTTCCCGAACTTTCCCCAGGCCTGTACCAACTTCCCGCACTTTCCTGCACCAAATTCCCGAACTTTCCGCAGACCAGCACCATCTTCCCGAACTTTCCCCAGACCTGCACCAACTTTCTGAACTTTCCCAGACCTGCACCAAATTCCTGAACTTTCTCCAGACCTGCTCCAACTTCCCGAACTTTCCCCAGACCTGCACCAACTTCCCGAATTTTCCCCAGACCTGCACCAACTTCCCGAACTTTCCCCAGACCTGCACCAAATTCCTGAATTTTCCCCAGACCTGCTCCAACTTTCCGAACTTTCCCCAGACATGCACCAAATTCCTGAACTTTCCCCAGACCTGCTCCAACTTCCCGAACTTTCCCCAGACCTGCACCAACTTCCCGAACTTTCTCCAGACCTGCACCAACTTCCCGAATTTTCCTCAGACCTCAAGAATTTGTTCCTAATTTCGACTCAGACATGCAGAATCTCCCCAAACTTCCCCATGATCTTGCCTCCATTCAAGTCTTCTCTCTACGTCCACCCAAACTCTACCTCCCCAGTCTCCAAGCCTCCCGCCTCCTCCACCAATCCTCCCTTACCACACACCCACACCCCTCCTTCCCCACCAGCCCTACTACCCTCTCCTTTCTCCATCCCCCAACTCCTCTCTTCCCCACAATTCTCCATGCACTACTCCTCTCCTTCTCCACCTGTGCATAGTCTATTCCGGGCCCCGCTGGTGCGCAGAAGCGAGGTTCTCAGGAGGATGAGAACGCCAGCATTGGATAAATTTAATTATTGGAATTAGAGAATATCGTCGCACACATCAATAGGGAATTGGAGGATCACCGACGTACAGTGACGTACACTGACGTACACTGGCGTACACTGGCGTACACTGACGTACACTGGCGTACACTGGCGTACACTGACGTACACTGACGTACACTGACGTACACTGACGTACACTGACGTACACTGGCGTACACTGACGTACACTGGCGTAAACTGGCGTACACTGGCGTACACTAGCGTACACTGACGTACACTGGCGTACACTGACGTACACTGGTGTACACTGACATACACTGGCGTACACTGACGTACACTGGCGTACACTGACGTACACTAGCGTACACTGACGTACACTGACGTGCATTGGCATACACTGGCGTACACTGACGTACACTGGCATACACTGGCGTACACGGGCGTACACTGGCGTACACTGACGTACACTGATGTACACTGACGTACACTGACGTACACTTACGTACACTGACGTACACTGACGTACACTGACGTACACTGACGTACACTGACGTACACTGGCGTACACTGGCGTACACTGGCGTACACTGACGTACANAGCACATGTTACGCTGTGCAGTACATGTTACGCTTTGCAGCACATGTTTCAGTATGCAGAACATGGTACGTTGTACAGCTCATGTTACGTTGTGCAGTACCTGTCTCTTATACACATCTAGATGTGTATAAGAGACAGGTCCTGGTGGGTTGGGGTGGGCTGTCCCTCCATGCCCTTGTGGGTTGGGGTGGGCTGCCCCTCCATGCCCTTGTGGGTTGGGGTGGGCTGTCCCTCCATGCCCTGGTGGGTTGGGGTGGGCTGCCCTCCATGCCCTGGTGGGTTGGGGTGGGCTGTTGCTGGTTCTCGTTTGCAGTGAGCATCACTAATGATATTCGTATCGGTATTGCAAGTCATTTTGTGAAGCATCCATCTTGACTTCAGTGCTATTCCTACCTGAAAATTTTGTATTTATGCCTAATCATCATGCAATGCTATTCATACCAGAAAACTTTGTATTTATGCTGCATCATCATGCAATGCTATTCCTACCAGACTCGTGTTATTCAAACATGAATTGCCTATTGAAGGGTTAACGCTATTCCTATGGAGAGGCCCTACGGGAGACAGCGACCTGATGGTCTGAAGGTCAGTACATTTAAGGTGTGTATGTGTACATACACCATACAAGGAGGTGTGTATGTGTACACACACACACAGGCAGTACACACGCTGTGCACACATAGGCAGCACCAGACGCTGCGTCGGTGCTCCGCCGCCACCACGTCTACCGCCGCCCAGACAGCCCGCCGCCATACCGGCGGCCTGCGCGCTCAACTATCTTATACGATTGTTGTGTATAGCATTATAGGTATACTATATCATTATTATAGTTCATAATATTATTAGAGATCATGTTATAATTATAGCTCATAATATATACTGTTCCTATACGTTTGCTGTGTATATCATTATAGGTTATTTGTTATAGATATATTACTTCATTAATATTGTTCAAATATTATTAGAGATAATGTTATAATAATTATAGCTTATAATATTATACTGTTCCTATACGTTTGTTGTGTATATCAGTTCATATTATTATAAGTACATATAATGTTATAGCTCATAATATTATACTGTTCCTATACGATTGCTGTGTATATCATTATAAGCCATATTATTATAGGTATATTATATCCATTAATATAGCTCATAATTATAACAAATATTATAATAAAAAATAAATATTATTATAAGTATATATTATATTAGTTCTCCCATACGCTTTGGTTTGTATATCATTCCAGGTCATATCATTATAGATAACAGAACATTATCAAAATAACATTACAGATCATTATAATTTAAATTTTCAATGTCTCTACAATATAATACGCCATCAAATTTTTTGATGAGACCTGAATATTTATACCGAATCTATGAAATGAACTACGTACTATTGTATGAAATTTGTTAAGAATCTATGAAACTTGTTAGCAATGTATGGAATTTGTTAAGAATGTATGAAATTTGTTAAGAATGTATGGAATTTGAAATGAATGCATGAAATTGGTTAAGAATGTGTGAAATTTGTTAAGAATATATAAAATTTGTTAAGAATGTACGAAATTTGTTAAGAATTTATGAAATTGGTTACTAATATGGTAAGTTCTTCACTCATGAATGAAATTGACCACTAATGAATGTGTAGCGGCGTCCTCAGCTTTGTGAGGTCAGTGAATGTATGAAAATGTTGGTAAATGAAATAAATGAAGATGAATTGGAAAATTATTGTGTTGGTAAATGAATGCAATGGTAAAGCCTTATAGGCTGAGACGATGTTTTGAACACTTGGTTTACGGAGATTTAATTGAAAGTTACATATTTTATGTTCATGTAAATAATAAAATTTTTGGCAATGAATCCAATAACTTCTAACTAACATTTCGATGCGAGAATATAACATGAGTAATTCATAGAAATTATTGATGAATAACCAATTATTCTGAGTATGACATTAACGCACCGAAATATTTCGTCACAAGATAAATCTGAACTTTAGTTAAGGAATGAGCTGTATGGCAAACTTTAGTAAGGTTAAAAAAATTACGTGAAATTGCGATTTCAGAGCGAATGCCGATCCCTGCTGAAGTTCCAATAAAGGGAAATGAAACTGCTTGCACAATCAAGTTTATTTTTTTTTTCTCGTTGCAGAAATAGTTTTTTTTGCAACAATGAGAGATTTTACATGCATCACTTAAGCTGGTGGCAGCGAGGCTGTGCAGCTGATGGGTGGCAGTTCAGGTGGTGGCAGCGAGGCTGTGCAGCTGATGGGTGGCAGTTCAGGTGGTGGCAGCGAGGCTGTGCAGCTGATGAGTGGCAGTTCAGGTGGTGGCAGCGAGGCTGTGCAGCTGATGATTGTACAGCACATGTTACGCTGTGCAGTACATGTTACGCTTTGCAGCACATGTTTCAGTATGCAGAACATGGTACGTTGTACAGCTCATGTTACGTTGTGCAGTACAAGTTACACTGTGCAGCACATGTTACACTGTGCAGCACATGTTACTCGGTGCATAACATGATATTTATTGAACAAAACTTTCAATTCCTTAGCCTTAGTCTCAGATGCTCTGCCGAAGTAGGGAAAAGAACAAAAAATGAGACACTGGTTATGGAATTGAAAGTTTTGTTCAACAAATATCTTCCGAATGTCAATCTGCACGTAGTGTTGGTGAATAACTTTAAAATCGGCTCGTTCTTCAAGCATAAAGATACTCTCCCGCTTTTTATGCGTTCGTCCCTAGTATATAGATACAGTTGTGCGCAGTGCGCATCAGCGTGCGTCGGTATGAAGTCTCGCAATTTTTGCACTAGGCTGGCGGAGCATTAGGGCAGAAGTTTTAGAACGGGAACATTACTTGAGCATCCTCCTCATTCAGCTGTGCGCGTCCAAGTCGAGCAGTGCAATTAATGTTCGGTGTCGGAGAGTGATTGTAGAGTTTTAGCTTTCATGACCGGTATTTCTGACCTACGAATTTTAGAATCCCTGTATATTTTTAAACAGAACCTAGTTTAAATGCAGCCTTCAGCTCCAACAGTTAACTGTTAACTGCCTTATTACGAAATGAATAAATTAAGAACTTGAAATTTTTACCGTCACTGCACAGTTGTAAGTTTAACTTTTTTGTCGAATTTGAAGGTCATAACGTATTTTGGACAGTTATATAGGTTAATTACGTAATTTAGTAACAACAAAACACAATATACCTGACATATATACAATCCTGCACAGTTGTGAACTTATAGCGGAAATTTTCATCGGAGACCTAATTCAGACACAACCAATCTCATTGATACTATACTTAACCGTCACTGCATTAATATTTAATAATTGAAAGTGATTGGGAACCATTAATACCTTCAATGTCAGCGCATTATGTGCTACACACAAGTATACAGCTAAGCATGTGCTGCACTGCGTTACGTGTTCTTCACAGCGTAAATTGCGATGCACAGTTTAAAATTTGCTGTAAAGTGAAACATGTTACGGGACTTACCTTGGTGTCACGGAACTTTCCTCAGTGCCGCGGGACTAGCCTTTGTGTCACGGGACTGACCCTCAGGTCACGGGACAGACCTTAAAGTCACGGGACTGGCCTTCAGGTCACGGATCTGGCCTTCAGGTCACGGGACTAGCCTTAGTGTCACGGGACTGACCTCCAGGTCACGGGACTGACCTTCAGGTCACGGGGCTGGCCTTCAGGTCACGGATCTGGCCTTCAGGTCACGGGACTAGCCTTAGTGTCACTGGATTGACCTCCAGGTCACGGGACTGACCTTCAGGTCACGGGACGGCAGACGAGCGAGTATGTGACGGCTGGACGGGTTGATAGGGTCGACAATGGTTAGACAGGTGACGCAGCCGTCCACCGTCCCCAGGACGACGTTGGCGCCGTCCACACTGCACGCTATGCCCGTCAGCTCGGCCTGGACGCGGTAGTTGGCGATCATCGTCCCGTCCGCGACCCTGCGAACACCGGCGGTGTTGAACGCAACTGGGCCTATACTTCCAAAAAAAGTTAAGAGATCGTAAGTTCATCAGCCAATCATTGACGTTCTTTCACGCAAAATCCACCAATCATAGACAAGAAAATAGAACGTAAGTACTTACGTTCACTTAGCTAGTTTTGAAAGTATGGCTCCAGCGCCCATACTTCCAAAAAAAGTTAAGAGATCGTTAGTTCATCAGCCAATCATTGACGGCCTTTCAAGCAAAATCCACCAATCATAGACAAGAAAATAGAACGTTAGTACTTACGTTCACTTAGCTAGTTTTGAAAGTATGGCCCCTGATCACTGGGACATCACTTAACATCAGCGATAACAACATTAATGAAGCACTTTGTGCCGCTGGGAACCTGCTCTCACTACCGAGGAACATCTGGTCAGTTACTATTGGCGATCATCGTCCCGTCCGCCACCCTGCGAACAGCGGCGGTGTTAGAATAAAATAGAATGGAAGTGTCGCATTGAAGAAATAGGCCCATGGCCTGTCGCCGATTCGGGTACTTTTCGTGACTTGATTCACAAGGGATCCGGCCTTTGGAACCCGATCTTTCCATAACTGACGATTGATTGAGATAACTGCTCGCCTTATTGGCTGGTCCGTAAGGTGCTTGGCATTTCAAGACTGAACATTGCTCAGTTGTGCTGAACACAACTGAGCGCAATGATGCGCAGCGGTGTTAGGGACATCACTGGACATCAGCGAACACCATTAATGAAGCATATTCTGACACTGGGAACTTACTCTCACTGCCGGGGAACGTCTGGTCACCGAGACCATTTGCCCCACCTATAGACACACGAATAGTCGATATCCCCTTGGGCTAGTATGAGATACTGCCTACATCTAGCGCCAAACTTCATGCCCTAATTGAGCACTAGAATGGTTTTCATATACCCGCTTCAGGTGAGGACGATTCCGCACCTGAATACTCGCATGGTTTTCCTCCCCTCGTGGTGGTAGAGGATGATTTCTCACCTGAACACCCGAATGGCTTTCTTCCCCCTATTGTAGTAGAGGACGCTTCCTCACCTGAGAACCCTAATGTTTTTCTTTCCCCCCTCTTAGTAAAAGACGTTGCCTCACCGCATGAACACTCGAATGGTTTTCCTCCCCCGCGGTTAGAAGAGAACGTTTCCTCACCTGAACACCCGAATGGTTTTCCTCCCGCCGTGGTAGTAGAGGACGTATTCGTCGGTCTTGGTGAACATGCAGATGACAGTGAACACCCCTTCGGCCACCCGAGGTATCAGCGTCCGCACCGACGTCCCGTGTCGGAGCTCCAGCAGTTCCAGTCCTCCTCGAGCGGGGGCGAAGAGGCCGTAACGACCGTCGCTTGTCACCTGATAAATAGAAAATACTAATGATATTTTTTTAGATAAGTAATATAACAAACAATGTTAGCACCCCAACTTGTGAACCACCCATTCGCCAATTTTGACAACCTACTCGTACAAATTCTCTTATCCATTTTATCACTCCACAATAGTGGCCAGTTATGGTTTTCAAATCGTAGGCCATGGCCCTTAACTATGGATCATGAGCCTTTTTATGGGGGGAGGGGATGGAGGACCCAAATTGCGCACCATATTGATCTTGCCGAAATCGAAGTTAACTGAATTTTTAGTGAAATACCTGCCCATGATGCAATATGTAAAAGAATCGCAAATATAATGATTTTCTACATTTAGAACAGTCAGAAATCTCATTTATAGCGAACAAATGCTACAATACATATCTTTGGAAAGGAATATCTAGCATGTTCGGCCCGAAGTCAAGATTTGCCACTGGTCAAGAGGAAGAATTTGGAAGTCAATACAACACAATGTATGCTCCGCATTGAGGCTATGGTTCCCAAGACGCTTCTTGTTGCCTTCTAAATCACATTGAAAATTAAACTTTGGTACGCATCGTCAACCTAATGAAAAGAGTAGAACTGAACACCATGATTTTTTTGTATGTTGCCCTAAGACATGAAATCTGCCCACTGAGACCTCACCAAGACATCTGTGTGCTGTTAACCTGCAGAGGTAATATTCTTGATAGTGTATTTTTAACTGATAGATGAATTGTTGATAGTGTCCGGTGTATTAGGCGTCTCGTTCTATTCACTATAATTATATTTTAAGATTAGATCATCTGTAATTGAGACGTAATATTCACTAGATGTGACAGAGATTGATGGAAACGTACTAGACTTGAGTCAGCATTGACAACATCACGTGGCAGATCACGCGATCAAGACCTCAGTAGTGGGCGGAAGCCGTGATTCTATAAAAGGCTGGAAACCTTAGTAATTAGGCCGCGAGTAACTGATGGCTTGATCGCGTGATCAGTCACGAGATATTGTCTATGCCGACTCAGGCCTAGTACTTTTCCATCAATCTCTGCCACATCTAGTGAATGTTTCGCCTCAATTACCGATGTTTAATCGTAGAATATAATGGCAATGAATAGAATGAGACGCCAGATTGATACCGGACAATAGTTAAGGTCTTTCAAAATGAGAAAAGGAAACAATTGTTGCAGGATATCTGGTAGCTGATTCAATGCAGTCCCGCCTACTTAAAATACGTGATTCAAGCTTTGAATAGATTCAACCGACTACTACAGGGCGAGATTCTATGACCACCATACCAGATCAAAGATGCCATTGAGGCTGTCATAGACAAGCAAACTCGATCTCTGGAAAATGAAAGTCGGATGCTGTCCCGGTATCTATCTGTACGAGGTCGACGTAGAATAACACCTTACATTTGAGAGGCGGCAAGATGTCATGAAACACTTGTTAATCCGCCTAGACCCTAGAATGTGTTCAGACGTTATTTCCAGAATAGTGATATAAATGGGAATGTTCATATGGTTCATGATGCGTTTTCTTTCATTACGGCCTGGTAATTTGATCAGAAGGTTGTTATCCTCAATTGGTTTCTCGTTATCTAAACTGCCGTCCCCACTCGTAACCCACCTTACCGTACCCACTCATAACCCACCTTTTCACCCACACGTAACCCACCTGTCGTCCCCAACTTCTCACCTACTCGTAACACACTTTGCCGTACGCACTCGCAACCCACCTTCTCACCCACTCGTAACCCACCTTGCCACCCCACTTGTGGATGGATCGGATGAATTTTTTGGTGCGCACGTCGACGATGTTCCCTTTGTCGGGGTCAATGAGGGCGACCTGCAGCACGTGGCAGGTAACACGCGTCATGTATCAAAACACGTAAATATTTACCATACCTGAACTATACAAATACCAAGAAAATATATATTTCTGCTTGCATGTATGAAGCATTTAAACGGATTTATATTTATACAATGGAATGGAAACGTTAGGTTGATTGTTATCACCTAAAAGTTGCATATCGTAATGTCAGATAATTGTGTCTGACATGATATTTGGATTCACTGAATGATAGGTCTGAAGTTTATAATCATTTATTTATTATTATCACGTAGGTCACCTGTGTAGGCCTGTTAGGCATGGGCACCAGGGCGTGGAAGTCTTTGTACCCTGGATACTTGAGTACCATTTTGTGCAGCAGTGTACCCGTCTTGGCGTGGTAAACGAAGAGTACGTCCTGTTAAGCAAGTCGTGAAGTTAATACATGATATATCACTCGCACGAATACACAATCTGTCAATCATGACTTTTCTGTTAAAGAAAAAGCCGGCAACATTCCACACGCTTTTACACAGGTCCAGTTGCCGACTCGACATAGCCACGGCAGCGCCGGAGAGACTTCTTTGGCGCTGTTTTTGCGGTTACAGCAGCGCCACTTCGGAGCAAATAAGACCGCTTTGGCGCCGTTATATTAGCTGCGCAGCGGCGCTGCAGCGACGCCACACCCGACCTTTGTTGCGGTTATACGGACGTTGCGCGGTGCTACAAGCAATATCCTTTTTCGGTCGCGTTTAATCATGTTAAAACAGTCATTTTAAAACGAAAGAAGAAAATTAGGGTTTCGGGAGTGCTATTCTATTATTTGCATTTTAATGTTTTTAAATATATAACAAAATCCTGGAACAAATTTAATCTTTAATCCTGCCAGGTTAGCTATCCCATTGTGCAACAATTCATTGCCGCTTTGCGCTCACTCGCAAAAAAAGCACAAAATGTATTAAAACAAGTAAAGTAACGTTTATGAATAAATTAATTTCATTTTTAGAAATAATTCAATTTAATACCTTCATGCCGTCTGCAGCGTGCACGCAATACCTACCTTCATGCCGTCTGCAGACGGCACCAGCAGCAGCAGACCGTCTGCAGACACGCAGGGCAGCTTGAAGAGTCTGAAGGGACAGGCGAGTTCGTACAGGAGATCGCCGGAGGGCAGGCAGCGGGCGACCACGTGGCACACGTCCTCGCCTGAGCTCTGCAACGGCACACATTTTACTCATATTTCCTTCAATTTAGCTTATTCATCATGCTAATCCTATTAACTTTCTACTTAACACTATCAATCATTATCTTTAATCCTAATTTAAATGAGTACGAATATTTAATTGACTTATTTGATGGAATTTAATCTTGAATATTTGCTTGAGTCAAATGATACAAGGAATCCAGACTGGAAGGTCTAGAGTAGGTCGGGTGTTCAAGAATGGAGGAAAATTAGTATGTATGAATCAGTGACGACTAATATGAAAGTGTTATTAACAAAGCTTTCATTTATTGCTGAGACCTAGTTTTTGGGCATAATATATCGATAAGAACAGAAATTTTAATAATGCGTATACGCGTGCTTTAATTCCATTTTGACTCACTCTAATAAAATTCATGTTCAGCATATATTTACATAAATAAAAGGGATTTGAAACAATTTATAATCATGTTACTTTATAAGCATTTTTTTCAATACGTATTCCTTAGGTAATGTAAGTCACCTTCAGAATAAAACAAAATGCGGACACAGAAGCCCTGCTGAAGCTCATTTTGAAAATAGATAAGTTCACCATCGAATAGCGAGCTAAATCAGAGAAAACTTTGACAGAGGGGTTCTATTTTATACTGAATTGGAACACGGAGAAGCCGAAATGATGGTTTTTAAATACTAAAATGCGTAGTTGGTCACCAAGTAACACTGTCTTCAATTTATTTATGTAATAGAATATTTAAAGGTATAATGTTTGTTAGGATTTGTGTCTGAGAACATTAATTCCATACGCGGCATACACATAAGTCTTGAAGTCTTGAATTGAATTTTTTTCACTTTCATGGTTCACAAAAAAATATAATTACGTGCGAGAATATGAAAACTTGAAACAAATAAACTTGAATGGCAGGTCTCAAATTATGAAAATAATAATGAATAATCTTATAATGAAAATGGACATTTTTGTACATTTTCAGGATCTTCTCAATTTAAAAAAATGTAACTCAGTACTCACTGCAGTGAGTGACAGAGAGCGCATTTTCTCGTCGACGAAGACTTGAGGTCACGGACGGACAGAAAGACGGACGGACAGACAGACAGACAGGCAGACAGACAGACAGACAGACGGACGGACATGGCGAGCACAATAGTGCATCTTTTCCATAAATGAGAAAATGCGCTAAAAAGCGGGTAAATAATGAATTCAAGAATCTTGATCTATGTTATTTTCGCCGCATTTGAAACGATGAGCTCTACAGATGACCGCAACGACGTACCCGACAGCTGAACGTAACGACGTAACCGACAGCTGGTCGTAACACCGTACCCGACGAAACGACGTACCCGACAGATGGCCAGAAACTTGGTGTCGCCGTCGATGATGAGGAGCTGCACGACGCCGCGCTGTGGGGCCCTGAACTGCACCGACAACGTCTTGACGTTCCAGATGAGTACGTTGCCTGATTCCGTGGACACGACGTACCTGCAACCGACGTATAAGGTTGTACATCTAGTAATTGGTTTTATTAGCTTATGGACGTGCCCGTCATCTATAAATAGTTGTTACAATCTCTTTGGCATTCATGTTATCTAGTTATAGGTTTTATTAGTTTATAGACATTCACGTCATCTAGCAATAGATGCTGCTATCTCTTTGACATTCATCTTATCTAGTAATAGGTTTTATTATTTTATGGACGCTCACGTCATCTAGTAATAGATGCTGTGATCGCAATGACATTCATCTTATCTAGTAATAGTTATCTTATGGACTTCCCCGTCATCTAGCTACGGGCTTTGACTTCTGCTAGAACCACATTTAATTAGAATAAATGGTCTCTTTTGGACGTATGCATCTCCTAGAATCCAAAGGGGACTCACCTAGAGTCACTGGTGATCTCAGCATGGGTGACTATGGCGCCCAGGGGTGAGTCGGCGAGTTTGCTGGTGAGTTTGCCGAGTCTGAGGTTCCAGAGACCGACGCAGTTACGCGTCACGGTCACCGCCAGCGGCTGCGTCGGGGACAGGCTGAGAACAGTGAGAACAAGGAGGCTGAGAACAGCGATAACAAGGAGGCTGAGAACAGCGATAACAAGGAGGCTGAGAATAGCGATAACAAGGAGGCTGAGAAGAGCGATAACAAGGAGGTTAAGAAAGCGATAATAAGGAGGTTGAGAACAGCGATAACAAGGAGGCTGAGAACAGCGATATCATGGAGGATGAGAACAGCGATAACAAGGAGGTTAAAGGCCACGAAAACAACCGTAATGATGACAACAAGGAAGCTCACTATACCTATGATCGTACGATAACAAAATGCGGGCTAGGATATATGCTGACCTGCTGACCTGATGTGGCCGACCTTCTAACCTGATGTGGCCGACCTGCTGACCTGATGTGGCCGACCTGCTGACCTGATGTGGCCGACCTGCTGACCTGATGTGGCCGACCTGCTGACCTGATGTGGTCGACCTGCTGACCTGATGTGGCCGACCTGCTGACCTGATGTGGTCGACCTGCAGCTCGTGTCGGTCGATGACGTGCACCTGCTCGAAGATGTTGTTGATGTTCCAGACCTTGACGGAGCGATCGAGGGAGGAGGTGATGACCTGCAGAGAGAGGGGGGGGGGGTTTAGTGGTAACATGGAGGACAGACGTGAGGGATCATATGGACCCGAGATATGAGGGACCCTAGATAAGGGACCCGAGATGTGAGGGACCCTAGATAAGGGACCCGAGATGTGAGGGACCCTAGATAAGGGACTCGAGATGTGAGGGACCCTAGATAAGGGACCCGAGATATGGGACTCAGGATATGGGACCCGAGATATGGGGCTCAGGATATGGGACACGAGATATGGGACTCAGGATAAGGGACTCGAGATATGGGACTCAGGATAAGGGACCCGAGATATGGGACTCAGGATAAGGGATCCGAGATATGGGACTCAGGATAAGGGACCCGAGATATGGGACTCAGGATAAGGGACTCGAGATATATGGGACCTTAAATATGAAACCCAAGAAAAAGACCCTAGATAAAGGACTCAAGATAAGGGACCCGAGATATGGGACCAGAGATGAAGAACCTGAGATAAGGAACCCAAGATAAGAGACCCAAGATATGGGACCCGATATAAGGGCTCAGAAACAATAGACCCGGTACGGGACCCGATATAAGGGCTCGGAGATAATAGACCCGGTACGGGACCACTCACGGAGTTCCAGTCCCGGACGGTGAGGGCGGCCATGCTGATGATCCTGCCGAAGTGCGCGTCGAGTTCCTTGACGAGACGCCCGTCCTGCAGCGTCCACACGTACAGGCTCTTCCTGCAGATAACAGCCGTGATGTGATAACAGCCGTGATAACAGATAATAGTAGTGATAACAGATAACAGCCGTGAATTTACAGGAATTTAAAAGTAAAGAAAATAGCCAAAAAGTTCACCATTTCTTATAAGAGAAAACGTTTCGGAGTCCAGCTCCATCGTCAGTCAAACAAACAATTAGTAGCCTAAAATTCACATTCAAACAATTCAGGTTTCAATTCGCCGGCGTCAGGTGAGCCGGCGACTGCTCACCTGACGCCGGCGACGGCTCACCTGACGCCGGCGACGGCTCACCTGACGCCGGCGACGGCTCACCTGACGCCGGCGACGGCTCACCTGACAGCTCACCTGACGCCGGCGACTGCTCACCTGACGCCGGCGACGGCTCACCTGACGCCGGCGACGGCTCACCTGACGCCGGCGACGGCGTATTCCCTGCCGTTGGAGAGGACGCAGCAGTTGGAGGTCATGGGGCGCGTGCTGATGTTCCTCACTCCATGGGGCAGCTGTAGCCCCCACACCTGCCCCCCCTCCTGCACCTCCCACACCTGTAGGGTTTTGTGCAGGTGTAATCCATACTTAACAAATTTGTAAACATTACGGACAATTTAATCCACTTAACATAAAGTACAAAAGTACTCAAACATTTTGAAGGCTCAAACAGTCATACTTGTTTTGATAAACTTCTAATTAATATTAGATTTTTCTCACCTAAGGACTTTACTTCGTCTCAAGACGTCGATTCATTACAATTTTATCCATATTTCGTTAAAATTACGTCTTTGGTCACTACCACACACCTTGGTCACTACGATTTAGGTCACTGCCCTACAGGTCACTACCCTCTAGGTCACTACCCTCTAGGTCACTACCCTCTAGGTCACTACCCTCTAGGTCACTACCCTTTAGGTCACTACCTTCTAGGTCACCACCCTCTAGGTCACTACCCTCTAGGTAACCACCACGCACCTTGAACCCGTTCATGGTAGTCCCCACCAAAGTCTGCAGGTCGTACGCAAGCTGCAGCTGCAGAAGAGGCGTCTCATTGTTCATAGTCTGTACACGCTGCCATGCAGAGTCTGCTCTCCTGTGCAGACACACAGCGTGGTCTGCTGTACAGCAATAGACCTCCTGTGCAGACGCTCCTCTGCACTGCGCGCTGCTCAGCAAAATTAAATTTTAATTTTCAACGGCAAAAATACAAGGAAGAGTCAACGAACTTAAATGCGATCATAAAAACCCAATTGGACCTTTTAATTGTAACTACAAAAGCACAATCGAATCTCTTAATAGTAACAACAAATATACAATTGAACTTCTCAACGGTAACCACAAGAGCACCATTGAATTTCCTGAAGGCAAAAATAAAAACTCAATTGAAATATTTACCGGTAACTATATAAGCTCAATTGAGCTTTTTCTCAATTGAAATTCGCAATTGAAAATTTTAAAAATTTTTAACCATTTTCACGGTAACGATAGTAGCACTTTGACACTACCATCTAGAACTTGACATTACCATCTAGAACCTGACACTACCATATGGAACTTAAAAATCCCATCTAGAACTTTACACTACCATTTACAATTTTACACTACCATCTAGAACTTTACACTACCGTTTACAATTTTACACTACCATCTAGAACTTTGCACTATCGTTTAGAATTTTACACTACCATCTAGAACTTTGCACTACCGTTTACAATTTTACGCTACCATCTAGAACTTTACAGTTCCGTTTAGAATTTTACACTACCATCTAGAACTTTACACTATCGTTTAGAATTTTACACTACCATCTAGAACTTTGCACTACCGTTTACAATTTTACGCTACCATCTAGAACTTTACAGTACCGTTTAGAATTTTACACTACCATCTAAAACTTTGCACTACCGTTTACAATTTTACACTACCATCTAGAACTTGACCCTATCATATAGAAGTTGACACTACCATTTAGAACTTGATAGCCAACCGCTTTAATTAAATATAACAATCTGATAATTGGTTGTTACATTGAATTGAACTCTGTTAAGTTTTGGGTTTTGTGTCGTTCTGTGTGTTGTGTATAATACACACAACACAACAACACAATTAACTCACTACTGACAGTTTGGGCAAAAGTTATTTGCTCAGGAATAGAACATTTGTATTGCTGACAACCCTTCCCTTGACCATATTACATCTACTATACTAAATGTTTATTAATTATATAATTACATCTAACTACACTAAATATATATTAATTATACAATTACATTCACCACACTAAATATTTATTACTCATATAACTACATATACTACACAAAATATTTATTAATTATACAATTACCTCTGCTACACTAAATATTTATTAAGTATGTAATTATATCTACTAAACAGTCTAAACTAAACATTTATTAATTATATAATTGCATCTACTCCACTAAACATTAATTAGCTATATAACTACATCTACTCCACTAAACATTTATTAACTATATAACTACATCTACTCCACTAAACATTAATTAACTATATAACTACATCTACTCCACTAAACATTTATTAATTATAAAAGAGGAACATTTTCATATCATTTTCATATTAATTATATAATTACATCTACCACATAAATATTTATTAATTATACAATTACATTCACCACACTAAACATTAATTAACTATGTAACTTCATCTACAACATAAATATTTATATATATATAAATAAATATAACTATATAACCGGTCAAATACTCGTAGAAGAGCAGAGGCTGGAGCTCTGCAGCGGCGGTGACGGTGTGCTGAGTGAAGGCTCTGCAGTCGCTGCTGCTCACTGTGATGGCCGTGTACTCCTGCAGAGTCTGAGCAGGAAATACATCCATTAAGCGTTATTTAATAAAAAATTACATTAAGCGTTATTGAGTAAAAAAATATTCATGCAGCATAATAGTCATTATGTTATTATTCATAATAATATTCATATGTCTGTAGACATGATATTCATGCAAAAAAATTATGGTATGCCGCGTTAAATTTATGCAAAGTTTAAAAAAGTTAGTTGCAAGTATATACAATTTCATGGCAAATCTCGAGACAACTTTCTGTTAAAGGTTAATTTCAGATTTAATGTAAAATTTATGACTTTATTGTTTGAATTTTAAGGCATTTATACGCCCACACGAAAAGTTAAAGTTTCACGAAACTTTTAGCCACTCTAAGGTAACTTAATGAAAGTTGTAGACGTAAGAACTTGCCTCGAACTTCATGGTGATGATCTCGTCATCCCAACTTGATTTAACTTTGTCTACCAGCTGGCCTCTCAAGTTGAACACCGCCCAGCTGCTGTAGATGCCGAAATCAACGCTTTTCAACACATAGATAGAAGCCTTAGCTTATTAGAAGAATTATGTATTGAAATTGATGTTTGATATGAACTGGATATTTAATATCAATAATATAATATAATATAAACCTGAGCACAAAAACACGTGGTGAGCAGCACCACCTCAGCACAAAAACACGTGCTGAGCAGCACCACCTGAGCACAAAAACACGTGGTGAGCAGTACCACCTGAGCACAAAACACGTGGTGAGCAGCACCACCTCAGCACAAAAATGTAACTGGTCAACATTATCTTAACATGTTTCACCAACACGACTGACCTACACGAACGACCTACACGACTGACCTAATCGACTGACAAACACGAGTGATCTACACGAACTACCTACGTACACGACTGACCTATGCATGACTCACCAACACGACTGACCTACACGACTGACCAACACGACTGACCAACACGACTCACCAATACGACTGACCTACACGACTGACCAACAGGACTCACCAGGTTGTTGTTGGTGTGGGCGACGGCGAATTTGTTATCAGGTGACAGCGTCAGGTCTTGGAGAATGCCTTCGATCTCCGGCACAACCTGGAGGGAAACAATCGTCGTCAGTGACTACTTCGCTCTTGGCAGGTGGACACAACACGCACCAGCAACTACTTCGCTCTTGGCAGGTGGACACAACACGCACCAGCGACTAATTCTCAGTGTATGACTCATTTCCTCCGCATATAACCTAAATATTTATTCAAATGACTCACTTTCTTCACGCATGACTCACTTTTTTCACGCATGACTCACTTCCTTGACGCATGACTCACTTGACGGGTGAGGTCAGACGTGGCGAGGTCCCACGTGATGAATTTGTTCGACACACTGACGATGTAGCGCAGGTCGCTGGTCAGGGAGAAGCCGAACACCGCGAACTGGTGGCCTTCCAGTGAATACTGGAGACAGGGGTTCAATTTAATTCATTTATCGAAAGAATATTACGTAGAGTGCATTAATTAGCTTAATTAATTAAGCGTGTGATATCAGATATCGAACCAACATCACCCGACATGGAGTATTACATAATCGTAAGAGAACGGCAGCGACATTTTTTAGACCAAACTACGAGCAGAGAGCGGAAGTAGCCTTGATACTCAATGGTTAAAAATCTATAAAAACTTAAATTCTGCAATGAACAAGAGATAATGTGGTTTATTGTAAATTCTACCTTCAAGGGGCCGCCTGGTGTGTGCATGCAGTGGTAGGAGTGACATCCTTCCTTCAGAGGACCGCCTGGCGTGTGCATGCAGTGGTAGGAGTGGCATCCTACCTTCAGGGGACCACCTGGTGTGTGCATGCAGTGGTAGGAGTGTCATTCTACCTTCAGAGGACCGCCTGGTGTGTGCATGCAGTGGTAGGAGTGTCATCCTACCTTCAGAGGACCACCTGGTGTGTGCACGCAGTGGTAGGAGTGTCATTCTACCTTCAGAGGACCGCCTGGTGTGCGCATGCAGTGGTAGGAGTGTCATCCTACCTTCAGAGGACCGCCTGGTGTGTGCATGCAGTGGCAGGAGTGGCATCCTACCTTCAGAGGACCACCTGGTGTGTGCATGCAGTGGCAGGAGTGGCATCCTACCTTCAGAGGACCGCCTGGTGTGTGCATGCAGTAGTAGGAGTGGCATCCTACCTTCAGGGGACCGCCTGGTGTGCATGCAGTGGTAGGAGTGGCATCCTACCTTCAGGGGACCGCCTGGTGTGTGCATGCAGTGGTATGAGGGCATGAGGGCACAGTGCATCATGCCCTCTTCATCACACTGCTGCAGGAGGCTCTTGACATGAGGGTTGTTGTGCATCTCAGGCAGCAGGCGACCCACCAGCTGAGCTGCCAGCATGTCAGGGTACGAGGACAAGATGGCGCCGCCCAGACGAAGAGCGTCTGCCACCAGCATCAGCTCCCTGGGTATCAAGCATCCTATTATTTCCTATATTGTGCATCGATGTAAGTAACCTAAGGAGTAAATGAGTAATTAAAGTAAAGTAACCTAAGTCAAGTATACTGGACATAAAGCTAATAACCTAAGGTGTAATGTTTTGCTAATTGTGAGGAGTCAAGTAATGTAAGGCTGTTTTATAACCAATTGCAAGGTGTAAAGTATCAAATGATATCCGATTATTGTATTATTAATTATGCCTGTTACCTGTATTGGATATGTGCTTGGATGCTCTGTCCTCAAAATATCATTCGGATGACGCTAGGATGACATTACGATGGCATTCAGGTGGTACTGAGACAAAACTCAGGTCTAACTAAGACGGCTTTCAGATGGTACCGAGACGGGATTCAGATGGCACTGAGACAGCACTCAGGTGGAACTAAGACGGCTTTCAAATGGTATCGAGACGGGATTTAGATGGCACCGAGACAGCACTCAGGTGGAACTAAGACGACTTTCAAATGGTACCGAGACGGGATTCAGATGGCACTGAGACAGCACTCAGGTGGAATTAAGACGGCTTTCAGATGGTACCGAGACGGGATTCCGATGGCACTGAGACAGCACTCAGGTGGAATTAAGACGGCTTTCAGATGGTACCGAGACTGGATTTAGATGGCACTGAGACAGCACTCAGGTGGAACTAAGACGACTTTCAGATGGTACAGAGACGGGGATTCAGATGGGAATGCGTCTTTTAGTGCGTATTGCAGTAACTGAGAACCTACTGAACATGATGTCAGGGAGGAGTATTGAACCATTTAATTGTGACATGATGCTCACATTCAATCGTTTGAACATTTAATTAAGTTTGAATTTTAACGTTCGGCGTGTGATCACAGCTTTGAAGAAAGTTCTTGCCTGAGTGAATAACATTTCCTAAGCTCGAATATTAATTTTTATCATGATGATGTTGAAATGATGTTTCACAAAAGACGACATTGGTACATAAAAAATCATTGATATATATGCATAAATGAGAAAATTTTGTGTTGGAATTAAAATGAATAAAATTCAAGGGAAAATCTGACTAGATGAATGATTTTGTCATTGAAAAAAACTTTATCAATTGGATAAATAATGGATTGATTGTAAATAAATACGGAATTTGGCAAAAAGTATCGCACATTTGAGGAGAAAAAAAAACACAAGGAAAACTGAAATATATAAATACTAATTTTAAAAAATCGGAAGAATAGCTACGCTGTTGAAAAAATAGTTAAAAATGGAAGAAATATATACGAAATTGACTTAATAGTTACAAATTTGAGCACTAGCTACGTAAGTGGAGTATTAAAAATTGGAGCAATGAGGCTACGAAATTGACGATATGATTACAAATTGGAGTAATAGCTACGTAATTGAAGAATGCGTTGGAAATTGGAATAATAGCTACGAAATTGCTGAAATTATCAGAAATTCGAGTAACTGCTATGTAATTGGTGAATACGGTAGAAATTGCAACAATAGCAATGTAATAGATTAATTGGTTTAATTAAATTGTAGGAGTCGAAATCGTGCAGGATTCTGCTCGGAAAAACATTAAAAATTAGATAGATAATCAAATTGGAATACAAAGAGAATAATTGAATGGAGTAGTTGCCATTTGGATGGAATAACATTACAATTTTTTAAATACACGGAGAATTCTTCTATAGAATACATAAGGCATGCTGAAAAACATGAAATGAATTCAGGCAAAATTACACTCTACTGAAAAATGATCGTTTGTTGTACGACGATCGTAACAATCGGCGTTATTACTAAAGAGAAATTATTAGTTAAAGTGGACGCAGAACTTTAATTAAAATTACATCAAATACGATGCTTGGGCTTACTTAAGCAAATCGATTAAAAGTTCAGAAGAGAAAAGCCGTTTTCACCTCTTCCACTTCTGCTCCTGTTCGCGTCTTCGGGACAAAAGATGGATCGGCGATAAATCCTTGATAAATATGAAAGCAATAGATGAGAGCAATAAATGAAGGCATTAGATGAGGGCAATAGATGAGAGAAATAAATGAGGGCAAAGATGAGGGCAATAGATGAGAGCAATAAATGAGGGCAATAGATGAGGGCAATAGATGAGGGCAATAGATGAGGGCAATAGATGAGGACAATAGATGAGGGCAATAGATGAGGGCAATAGATGAAGGACCCGCTGACCTGTTCTGGTCCCTGCTGTCTATATGACAGGACCCGCTGACCTGTTCTGGTCCCTGCTGTCTATATGACAGGTCGCATCTTCGAAGTCGCTGAGCAGCGCTTGTAGGGGGCGCGAGGAAAGCTTCGCGTGGAGCCATTGGTAGTTGAAGAGCACGTGGCTGAATAGGTCGTCAAACCGTTGAGACCTGACCAGGTGGTAGGGCAGCTCCCCGAACTGTGAAAATATGAGTAATATGTTCACTGTGAAAATATATTCGGGCAATCAACCACCTTGGTTGACTACTCACCTTCATGAGATTGTAGTGGTCAACTCGCAGTAATGATGTTGTATAGCGGGTGACTTGTCCTTTTCGGTGTAGAAAGGTACCACCCATTCTCATGAGGTTGTAGCGAGTCACTTTTCCCTCTTTTTGGTAGCAACCTAACCTCTCTGAGGTTGTAGCGAGTCACTTTGCCCTCTTTTTGGTAGCAAGCTAATCTTTCTGAGGTTGTAGCGAGTCACTTTACCCTCTTTTTTGGTAGCAAGCTAACTTTTCTGAGGTTGTAGCGAGTCACTTTACCCTCTTTTTTGGTAGCAGGCTAACCTTTCTGAGGTTGTAGCGAGTAACTTTGCCCTCCTTGTTGTAGTAGACCAGCGGCTGCAGTGGCACCTTGCGGTCTGCTAGGCCATCTTTGCTCTTCAAGTTGAACCTGCAGCAAGAACCAACGATAGTGAAGCTCATGCAATAACGAATAATAACCCATTCAACTAAAATATAAGAATAATTGCAATAATGTAAGACGTACGCAGCTGCCCGACTCGGAATTGGAAATCATAACCATACGCGGACATAGAGCGGCTGATTTACGTGCTTGCCTAGACTTGGGCGGCACATGTGGCAGCGTCTGATTTACATCTTAGTAAATCAGGATGTAAATATTTATTAATCCTATTTTTTATTATTTATATATTTATTAATCCTATAATTTATTAATTCTAAGTTACAGCCATGGCATAAACTGGCTTCAATCTTAATTTTTTATCTATGAAACGATAATGAAGGGTATATGCAAGTGACCTGTGCTTCTGGATCTCCGTGTATTTGAAGGGTTTGGGGACACCGCCCCCCCAGATTCCGAGGAAGTAATCTGCCACCATGGAGTGGATATACGTAGCCATGTTCTGGTTGTTGAAGTAGCGCTTCACCGCGGCCTCCTTGAACTGTCTGTGGGGGAAGCGAGCTTGGAAAGTGGAGGATCAAAGGCAAGGAGACGTGAGGGAAGGAAGTACATGAGTGGCATGGGATGGGGAACACATGAGGAGAATGAGAAGGACGCAAATTCGGAGTGCACATATGAAAAATGTAACTCAGTACTCACTGCAGTTAGTGACAGAGAACGCATTTTTTCGTCGACGAAGACTTGAGGTCACGGACGGACGGACAGACAGACAGACAGACGGACATGGCGAGCACAATAGTGCATATTTTCCATAAATGAGAAAATGCGCTAACTAGGGACATGATGTTAAAAAATAGGATACATGAAGGAAAGTAGAAGGAAGAAAGTGAGTGATATTAGGATAAGGGTGAAAAATGAGTTACATGATGAGGTAATAGACATGCTGAGAATTGTGGGTATGTCGGTGACGTGGAACTTAAAGCCAGTGATGACACTGTACGAACTGCCCGACCGAGTGCCTGTGTTCATGATAATGACCGTGACATGGTTACGGATGACCCGTTAAATTCATGTTAAATATTACGCTTAATGTGTTTTCTAAAATTCCTTGAATGCACTAATTATTTTGATGGTGGGTCCAACACTAATTATTCTGATGATGAATCCAAATAAATATTACACATGCAATATATTCATAGTGTAGCAAACCTTTATGAGCTACATTCACTTGAGGTTCTCATGCACAACGTGTCACGTATCTGTGATGAACGTACGTTTGATGCACGTACACCCGCGCACGTACCTGTGGTACCAGTTCATCACAGATACACCGTCCGCCTCACAGTCCGCGAGGTACCCTGGCAGATCACTGCTGATACGCGTCCACAGAAGCGGCGGAATGCGACGTACCGGGGGCATGTGGTACTGGTACACGTCATCAAGTACCTGAGTTGAGGGTGATGTGGTACTGGTACATGTAGTACTGGTACACGTCGTCAAGTACCTGAGTTGAGGGCAATGTGGTACTGGTACATGTAGTACTGGTACACGTCATCAAGTACCTGAGTTGAGGGTGATGTGGTACTGGTACACGTCGTCAAGTACCTGAGTTGAGGGCAATGTGGTACTGGTACATGTAGAGGATAATATTTCTCGTCATAAAGGACATGTAAAGACGCAGCTTGGTATTAGGAGAATATGCACGGTAGTCACAAACCAGCAATAACAGAACGAGAGTAATTCTGCATGAAAAAAACATGGTCATAAGAAAACCGTATGAAAAACTATAAAATCAAGTACAGCAAGAAATTTAGATTTAAATTTCAAGGAATGGAATTAAAATAAACACAAATTCAAGACACAGAACTAAAAACTAATAAATGCCCAGCAACTACATGAAAAAATTCAGTACAGAGAAACGCTATTGAATAAAGTTAAAAACCCATGAATAATACATAAGAGAGGAAAGTACCTAATAATCAATTACAGTTGAAGTAGAGATTCATAAAATAATTCAGAAGAAATAGAGACCTAGTAATCAAATGCTGTAGAAGTAGAGGATAGCCGAAAAACAAAATCAATTTCAGCAGAAGTAGAAGCTTAGTAATTTAGAGGTAGATAAAGACTAAATAAATAACTACATTAAAAGTAGAGACCTTATCATCGAGTGACATGAGGTAGATAAAGACTAAATAAATAACTACATTAAAAGTAGAGACCTTATCGTCGAGAGACATGAGGTAAGATAAAGACTAAATAAATAACTACATTATAATTATAAGTAGAAACTCAGTAATCCAATGCATTTGAGGCACAGAAAGACTAAATAAATAACTACATTAGAAGTAGATACTACCTTATCATCGAGTGACATGAGGTAGATAAAGACTAAATAAATAACTACATTAGAAGTAGGTACTACCTTATCGTCGAGAGATATGAGGTAGATAAAGACTAAATATGTAAATAACTACATTAGAAGTAGATATAGGCTAAATAAGTAACTACATTAGAAGTAGATATAGGCTAAATAAGTAACTACGTTAGAAGTAGATACCTTATCGTCGAGAGATATGAGGTCCTCCATCTCTGACTCGGACAGGCCGCTCTTGCTGGCCGTTACGTAGGCCAGGGCGTGGAACACGATCAGGCGGCCGTGCTGACCATCAAATGAACATTTCAGAACTTTCTTCATCGTTAAAAGATGCATTTAATATGTAACATTATGGGTTTGCATTGTATGTAGACGGAATGTTGGAAAGTACTTTTAATTTAATGTAATTCATACTAAAAATTCTTGTATTAAGTGTATTGAATACACTTAATACAAGTGTATTGCATACGTAGAATCACAAGAGTGATTCCTCTTACTCGAATTGCTACAACACAAGACACTAACTAACTTAACTAATCCTCAGACACTAACTAATTTAGCTAATCCAGACCCTAACTAACTTAAGTAATCCCCAGACACTAATTAACTTAACTAATCCCCAGACACTAACTAATTTAACTAATCCAGACACTAACTAACTTAAGTAATCTCCAGACACTAACTAACTTAACTAATCCCCAGACACTAACTAATTTAACTAATCCAGACACTAACTAACTTAAGGTGGTGGCGCGGTGCCACTAGGAAAGAGATAAAAAAGCAAGAGGTGGCTCAGAATGGCCAGACAGACGAAGGAGAAATGGAGAAAAGACAGTCGAAGATGAAGATGGCATTTTGCGCATAATTTGACTGTCTGGGTTTATGGGTTAGATTTGGGTTGAGTGGGAGATGAGAGGGAACTCGTCAGGGCTTTGATTAATGAGAGGTGGATTTTTGTGCTTCCGCATTCACGGGTTGAGTTTAGATAAAAATACAGCTTATTATTTTTATTATTATTTTTAATAACTCTATTTACCTGCACTTCGTTTTTTTATGGCGATTTTATGTTAATGATAATGAGGGTGATGAGTTGCTCGAATGTTAGTTGGTTGAAGTGCAGGGGGTTGTGTATTTTAATGGTGAACCATGTTCTACGAGCTTGTTGGTGGAGGACTTTGTTTATGACGCGTATGTTGCATTGATCGTGCAATGTTCATGAAGATATGAAATTGGACCATTGTGTGTTTGTGATGAATTTTAGGGATTGTTTTTTTATTTTATTGCAGTTGAGAACTCGATGTTTTGCACCTGGTGTGTAGGGGTTTATGCGGTGTAAAATGAGAGACGATCTAACAAATGCGAGGTATTGGGCTTTACATTAGGTAAGAGGTGTTAAAATGTTTTGCATTAAATTTGTGAGGGCTATTGCTTTTCCTTCTCTTAAATGGGATCTAAAATCGTGTATTATGAAGTGTAATCAGAAGATGGTTTCTTTGTTCGTGGAAGGGTAGTTAGTATTGTCCATGAATATTTAAGATGTATTTCGCCTCAAGAGGGGGATGATTATGAACTTTGTTGTGTATAGTCTTGATGAGCTATTTATTTTCGAATGTATTTATATGTTGCACGGCGTGTTGTGTCAGTTTTGCTGCGTATATATGTATGGGTATCGTCCGGTTTTTATTTGTGTAATGTCCCTTGCAAATGACGTGTACTCGAGTGTTGGGGAGCGGTGGTGGGTGTAAAAGCTGTTGTTGAGTATTTTATACGAGAGCTTCCCGTGTATATGTTAAACTAAAATAGGTCTGTAGTTTTAGACTAGGTGTTGTGCGGTGTTGCGTTTGGGAAGGAAGATCATGATATCGTGTTTCAGTTAATCGGGTAAATAGCCAGAAGAGATGGAGTGATTGAAAATGCATGGAAAGTATTGTTTCATGTTTTATAAGGTAGGTGTCTCAGTTGGAGGGTTGTGATTCCTGTGGGACCGGGGCTTTCTGTTTAAATATTTTTAGTGTGCATTGTATAGTTCTCTGATGGTAATGGGTGGGAAGTCTACTGGGTGGAGTCTTGCAAGGTCACCTGTATTGTGTAGAGAAATGAGGTGTATATTGTTGTTGACTTGGTCTTGTATGGTGTAAATGTGTTCAATGTCAAAGTCTTCGTTGTCTATGTCGTTCTATGTGAATATGTCTTGCCAGTGTTTCCGGAAGATGGGTTCTTTTTGTTCTGGTGTGCCCTGTTGTGTGTGAAATATTGGATGGTTTATTTGGTGTTGGAGCGCAGCAAACGTTTTAGAGAAGGCGAAAATTTTTTGGAGTCTACTTTTGTTTCAAAAATGTTGAGGAGGTCTTGCCATGTCTGTGTTTGTAAGTTTCTCTGTACTGTTTGTGGTTGTAAGGAAATCGATTTTTAGAATGAAAATTCCACAGCTTATTGTTGCGGTGCCACTATGAAAGAGTGGAAAAACAAAAGGAGGCGCAGAGTGGCCAGAAAGAAGAAGGGGAAATGGAAAGGACAGTAGAAGACGAAAAGGCGCATAGCGCATGCTTGGGTGGATTGTAGGTGATTGGATTCTGTTTGGAGTTGGGAGGGAAGGGGGGGACCCATCAGGGCTTTGTATGGTTTAAACGGGTGGGTGATTAGGAGATGGTGGTTATTTGTTATTTATTTACATTATTATTTACATTATTATTAACATTTATTTACATTATTATTAACACTTTGCCATTTTTTTAACATTGCAGAGCAATGTTAAAAAAATGATACGTGCTAAGTAATAATATCACTCGTTTGCTTGAATCGCAAATTCACTAAAAACTTAATAGCAAAGAAAACTCCACAAAAATTCATTGAATCGCAAATTCACTAAAAACTTAATAGCAAAGAAAACTCCACAAAAATTCATAGTATCTTTAAAGAAAACGTTTCTGAGTCCAGCTCCATCGTCAGTTCGAAAATTCTAGAACACAGATAAATCAGTGATTAGTACAAGTCAAGAATACAACGAAAATCCTAAGCTGCAAAACCTACCTATTTACAATTTCAAGCGGGTAAGAGCTAAAAGCTAAATTCAAACTAGGCCTCTGTTTAAAAATATGCAATGATTCTAAAATGCGCAAATCAGAAACACCGGAACTGGAAGCTAAAACTTTGAAGTCACTGTCAGAAACTGGAACATCGCACTGCTCGGCGTGAACCCGCACAGCCGAATGAGGTAGGAGCGACAGTAAGTTACCAGTTCTACAACTCCTGCCCCTATGTTCTGCGACCCCTAGAATAAAGATTGCGAGACGTCATCCCGACGTACGCAGATGCACATCGTGCACAACTATATTTATAAACTATAGGGACGCTCGCATACAGTATGCACAGGGAGAGTATCTTTGTACCTAAAAAAAGAACCGATTTTAAAATGGTTGACCAATATGACACGAAGATTAACATTTGCGCAATACTTAGAAAACAAAAGTTTTAGCTCTCTTGACATAGTTTCGGATGCAGGGCCGAAATATGGAAGAGAGCAATAAACAACATCCCCATTGTCGCGCTCGGGAGCAACTTCATGGTACCGCTTGGACATGAATTTCTTTATTTGGGTGAACACCAGATTAGTCGGAAATCCTGCTTTTACAATTTACATACGTTTTCATTTATTTGTTTTTGTAGTTTATCAAAAAGAACATATGGTGACGATGAAAGTGATAACGATGGTGATAATGATAATGAGGATTGAGAGTCACTCAAAACTCAAAGGGTGAATTTGTCAAGTATTGCTGGGTTTTCGGTAGGCCATTGGTAGGTCTATCCACAGAGAAGAGCCACCAGTCATGTAATAACCACAACTTAGCATCAACAACTTAACAAGTTCCTTAACAGCACACCACGTACACAGAGCCTGCTTCCAGATCAATTCGAAGAACGAACCTTATGGATTCCACGGGATTGGTGGCCAATATATATTGGGTGCGCTGGGGCGTCTAGTATCCCCGCACCCAATGATGCTCACCACAAAAGAACTGCATGCAGAAGTCATACAATAGCCCTTCGAAGCACAACAATTCGCACCTGCTTCTCGATCTTCTCGAAGAGCATCATGATGGAGTCCATGACATTGGTGGCGAGCAGTGTGCTCTGTGGCTTGCTGTAGCTCTGCCACCTGCAGATCTCGGCGAAGACCAGCTTCACGAAGATGGGCAGCGAGCAGTGGCTGATGGCGTTGCTCACCACGCGCCACTGGTAGTTGTTGAGGTCGCGATGAGCGGAACACATCCACTTCCTGTACAAAGATGTTTTAGTTGTAGTACGACCACGTCACCTCGGTATAGTCAAGTTACTGGCATTGGGCATCACACCGGACCTTCAGTTCTGAAGACTCTTTAGGCAGAAGGTTGACTCAGGTTCCATTACAACTCAGTCGTCCGTCCCAAAAAGCTAAAACTCTTTACGCAAGCTACCGTCAGAACAACGTATAATTTTTGCTTTATAATTTGATCCTACAGATACATACGGTACATACATAAAATACAGATACAGTAAATACATAAAAATATGCGGAAATGACGACTTCCATGGTTGAGTACTCGTACCTGTCGACCACTTCGACAAGGTCTTTGTACAAGCAATTCTGAAGCTTAGTAATTTCATGATTCAGAATTCAATTCTAAAAAAGCTGAACCACCACCTATAAAAAGCTTGTAGCCACTGCGCATTCAATTTAACAGTGACCTCCACGTCCACCAGTTCCGCGTACCTGATGACCTCCATGTCCACCAGTACACGTACTTGATGACCTCCATGTCCACCAGTTCCACGTACCTGATGACCTCCATGTCCACCAGTTCCACGTACCTGATGACCTCCATGTCCACCAGTTCACGTACTTGATGACCTCCATTGCCAGGTCCTCCCCCAGCGCCGTGACCTGCAGGAAGTTCTCCGGAGTCTCGATCATCCGGCACAGCAGTTTGAAGTCGCGGGAAATCTCAGGATTGTCTTCCTCAGAGACCGTCGAGAGCACAATCTGGAACCCGGCTTCATTTATCGTCAAATTACAAATTGAATATAACTAATATCTCACCTGCTAGTAACTTGTAATATAATCTCATCAAAACTCTCAAAGAAGCGGCATAAAAACCGATGTTTTTCATGAGAGATGTGGTATTGGCTTCGGTCCGAATGATAATCACCTTGACGTTGGGTGGGAGACGCGTTGGTATCCATGACATCCTGTTGGCGTCGGCCGCTCCTGTCACCTGGTCCACGCTGTCCAGGAAGATGAGAAGCGGCTGACGAAGAGGACGAAGAAAGGGGTTATTGTAAGGAGTAACGAAACTTCTGATGCTGACGTATGAATGGTGTTTGGTCATATATTAGGGTTTTCTAGTCAGGATGCCGTGATTTGGTCGGTTTTGTGCCGGAGTATGGGTACGCACACAGTGAAAGCAAGTTGCCAGCGTGCTGGTTACCTGCTCAGGCTGGCGCCTGAAACCATAGAATACAGAAGCCAATTCGCACAGGTTTTCACTGTGAACACTTACATTATTATCCTATGTTCATTCTTGTGGCAGGTTGCCCGCGCGGGCAAACCTGCTTCCACTGTGTGCGTACCCTATGACTGGGTGTTTTGCCATAAATTAAAAATTTCCAGTCAGATTGCAGTTTTTGGCCGTTCGGACGTTGCTGAGTTTATATTGACGTAGTCGAGTTTTGATTTGTCGAATTTTGGATTTCGAGTTCGCAGTTGTCGAGTTTACGGTAGTCGAGCTTGTGATTTCTGAGCTCGAGATTTTCCAGCTTGGGGTTGTCGAGCTTGGGGTTGTCGAGCTTGAGGTTCTCGAGCTTGGGGTTGTCAAGCTTGGGGTTGTCGAGCTTTGGGTTTCGAGCTTGGGGTTGTCGAGCTTGGGGTTGTCGAGCTTGGGGTTGTCGAGCTTTGGGTTTCGAGTTTGGGGTTGTCGAGCATGAGGAAGTCGAGCGTGGGGTTGTCGAGCTTGAGGTTGCCGAGTTTGATTTGTCGACCTTGTAATTGTCGAGTTTAAGATCGTCGATAACAGCGGCGTGATGTGTTGTCGAGTTTGAGTTTGTCGATATAGAGATTGTTAAGTTTAAGGTTGTCAAGTATTAAGTTGATGATGCTTGATGATTGCAAAACTCATTTGATGCTGTTTAATGGAGTCTGTCTCACCTGGGTCTCTTTCGCGCAGCTCAAGATCTCCTTGAAGTGTGCAGTGAGCGGTACCAAGTCCTCCGGAATGTCCTCAAAGGCCAGCATGTAGTTGTAGGATACCTGCTCGGAGTGTAGGATATGTTGAATACCTTTTCGGAGAGTAGGATTTGTTGGATGCCTGCATGGAGTGTGATAGATAAGGGATATTCGCTCCGACGGTAAGAGATGCAGGAAATTTGCATCTAGTGTTGTAGATTTAGCGTGTCAGCCGCATGCAAAATAGAACAGCATAAAGGCAGCCCCGGATAAGTGCACAAATTCTAATAACATTGATTGTGGTGGCATTCATAACCAGGTTCATAACCTGCTAATCATACGACGGTTGACAACCACAATCAGGCTCATAGCCTACTAAAATGATGGCAGATGATGGCTTACCCAAATAGGGTTCATAACTTTCTAACCTGATTGCAGATGGCTACCGCAATCAGGTTTATAACCTGCTAATTAACCTGATGGCAGATATCCCAATCAGGTTCATAACCTGCTGACCTGATGGCAGATACCCCAATCAGGTTCATAACCTGCTAACCTGATGGCAGATACCCCAGTCAGGTTCATAACCTGCTAACCTGATGGCAGATACCCCAGTCAGGTTCATAACCTGCTAACCTGATGGCAGATAGAGGTAAGTAGGGGGGTGAGGGCGGTTGAGTCTGGCGTGGTGCCCACAAAGCGAATGATGAGGACGGGCTTGGCGGGGGCCAGCCACGCCCCCGACGAGGCGGCGCACTTAGACAGCAGCGACGTCTTGCCACAGCCCCCCGCACCGTGCAGCACCAGGGGGCGCACGTCCCCGTCTGTGATGTAGCGGGCCACCCGCTGCAGCTCCTCCTCTCGCCCGTAGAACACCTGATGGGGTGTGGTTGGAGGGGGAACGGGAGTGGGGTTTGGTTGGGGGGGGAACGGGAGTGGGGTGTGATTAGATGGGAACGGGAGTGGGGTGTGATTAGAGGGGGATCGTGAGTGGGGTGTGATTAGAGGGGGAACGGGAGTGGGGTGTGGTGAATGTGATGCAGTGTGTGGGGTGTGGTGAATGTGATGCAGTGTGTGGGGTGTGATTAGAGGGGGAACGGGAGTGGGGTGTGGTGAATGTGATGCAGTGAGACGGGCGGGATATAGTTGGGATAATTGAATATAAAGTGATGATTCAAAATACGAGTGGCATTTAACATTCTTATTCAATTATGAATTACGAATAGAAATTTATTAAAATTTGAGTTACTTCTAAAGGAATACTTCGTGCATGCTTCCTCATGTATCAATACTTTAAAAGGATAACGTTAGAATAGGACTGCCTTAGAATAGGAATAGCTAAAATCTCGATGATTAAAAACAGAGTACCCTAGAGTTAAAATACTTCAATACTCTAGAATTGATATACTTCAATGGATAAGAGATGGAATACCTTAATTCACTAGAATTGGAATTTCTAAATATCGTTGGTATGGATACCCTAATACCCTCGGGAATACCTTGACGGAGTTGTTACAGGCGTGTAGATGCTGAAGGATCTCTGTGATGACTTGGCCTTGAGGAGAGTTATCCTCCTTCCTCATGGCGCGGTCCACCAGACGAGTTATCCCCTTGTAGAAGTGGGTGCAGAACTCTTGCAGGTATTCTGCATGGGTGTCGGGGGAGAGTCCCTCCCGCCCTATCCACTCCACCGTGTACCTGGGCAGTTGTATGCCCCTTAGTAGAGATCCTTAACCACAAGTTCGTTCATATAACGTCCAGCTCGCCATACAACCGCCATCTCCCCCTTAATCATCGGTCTCCTCCCGCCAGCTCCCCCTTTATCATCGGTCTCTTCCTCACGGTCCCCATCAGCTCTCCTCCCTATAACCATCACCTTTCCCATTATTTTCCCCCTTTAATCATCAGTTCCCCATTACACCCACCAGTCCCTACCCTACCTGTGGTAGTTAGACGCCTCTATCTTGGCAGGAAGGCGGTCATCCCTCAGGTTGGACAGGAGCTTGACGGCCTCTGAGTCCACTTGGCGGTTGGCGATGTCGATGAAGTTGCCGGCGCGGCGCAGGTTCTGCAGGTTAATGTTGTTGATGTAGCGTACTTGCGCGAGGCAGTGGTTGCGGGTGTTCTTCACGTTCAGGATGCCGTTGATGACCTCACGTTCCGTCACTGGTGGCAATAACTTTCAGGTATTATGAAAACAACTTTACTTAATAATATGCAGAAACGTGGAAATGAAGATAATAAATTATTTGACATAAAATTCGTTCAGGAGTGTATTTATTACCCGACGCGGAGAGGGGCCTGACCCACCCGGCATCAAGTAGTTATGCATGACTCACCCGACATAAAGTAGTAATGCATGACTCACCCGACATAGGAGTAGTTATGCATGACTCACCGGACATAAAGTAGTTATGTACGACTCACCCGACATAAAGTAGTTATGCATGGCATCCTTGTCAATCTTGCGCTGGTTGTAGCACGTCTGTGCTGCTTTCCTGAGCAGTTTCTGCATCTTGGCCAACGTGTCCCACCATGTGGCTTGGTCCTGAGCTTGCAGCTTGGGCACGCGCTGTTGAAAAGAGCATTTCGGGTGTTGCAGTCCGTCGTTGCATAATCCTATTCAACTGTTAAGTTAGATATAAATACGATCAGAATCCTAAGCTACATCCAAGCTTTTACGTATCTTAAAATACGCAAAATTGAGCAATAGACGTAAAGAAGAATTCTCTCGAAAATGATCAGATTTGGAACTTTCATCTGGATGGGAACAATAATTCTCAGTAAAACAAATTCGACTATAATTGACTCGTGTACGAACGATATTTAACATAAATATCCTGAATATGAATGAACTCTCACCTTACTGCGCCACGCCCAACGAAAAAGCCAGTTTAGAATTAAGGCTACTGTGAAATTTCGGGATGCGCGCTTGTGCACTGCTCAATACTACCAATACGGCCATACCACCACCACCACTTTCCGGTGCTGCAGAGTAGAGTAGTGATAGTGTTTCACTGTTTGGAGCAGCCACTGCTTAAGACAGTATAGTCTTCATGGATTTGCAACCCCAGCAAGGCCTTACCTCTACACCTAATTCGATTGTGAGGCAAGTGAGTGAGGAAGTGGAGCAGGTCATTGGTTACAGGGAGAGGTGGTCAGTAGCGCGCTACATGTAGCGGCCGCTACATTTACAGTAGCAGTAGCTGTAGCGGCGCTACATTTAAGCAATTGTAGCGGTAGCGCCCGCTACATTTAGAGCATGTAGCGGTAGCGGCGCTACATTTAAGCAATTGTAGCGGTAGCGCCCGCTACATTTAGAGCATGTAGCGGTAGCGGCCACTACATTTCAAAGTAACGCTGCCCAGCTCTGGTTCCAGGGAGAGGTGGGATAGACATGGATGTAGGACCATGCTGGGGTTGCATATCCGTGAATATTATACAAACTGGAGAAGTGGCTGTGGACTTGAAACGCTATGGTTTCAAGACGTTACGAAACTGGAATGTAAACGGTTTTTCTAGCGTGGTCTGCAACTTCGTTGCACTAGGGCTAAGTGCAGCTGCGCATCTTTAGACTAAACTTTGGCTCCAAGGCTAGTATAAGAGTAAAATTCGTGGCCAACCATTGTGAAACCAAAATTTCGGCTATGCTTGGGTCTAACGCAAATGATTTTATTGTGGTTAGACACGAGGCCGTTAAATGGTATCGCAACGTTGATGTTTTCTCATAGTTTAAGGTTTGAAACGTTGAAAATCTTGTGCATAGTTTTGGAAGATATTTCAGTAAAAACGATGGCATGCACAGTGGAGATAGACGTCCACCTAGCCGCCTGGGTCTGACGGTGGGATTTTGGCATTCAGTATTAACAGGAAATGAATTAGTGAAGCCTTCCAGATTTTACCATTTGATTATAGATGTTGCTGGACCAGTACTTCCGTTCAAAGTAGTGACATTCGTTTTTTATTCATCGAAGGCCGAACGCGGTAAATAAAATAAACGAACGGGTATCTTGAACAATTAGCTGCGCATGATAACTTTTTGAATTATTTAAATTGTCAGAATCTAAAAATGTAAAAACATCCAATTTGAGAGACATATTATGACATGATTGAGATGCCTTAACATACAATGGAGTTATAGGAATATTGTGAAAATTACGAGCATGGTGTAGATGAGTTTGGTGTGTAGTAGATCGTATTACTGAATCTACGAGTATGTTGCAGGTAGATGCCCTACCTTATCGTTAAAGTTGACAATTACGGTGCATTTACCTTACCTTATTGTTGGAGTTAACAGGTACGGGGGATACAAGTTATCTTATTGTTGAATTTGGCATGGATGGTGGAGGATGTTTGAGCTGCTTCACCTTATTGCTGAAGTTGATGAGTATGGTGGATATACCTCATGCAAACCGTTTTGTTAAAATTGACAAGAATAGTGGAAATACGAACCTCACCTTATTGTTGAAGCTGACAAGTATGTTATATATAACTCACTTTATTGTTGAAATTGACAAACATGGCACATATATTTCACCTATTATTTAAATTGAAAAGAATCGTGGAAATACCTAACATTAATGTTGATATTGATATAAATGATGGATGTACCTCACCGTATGTCGAAATTTCCAGAAATGGTGGATATACCTTACCTTTATGTTGAAATTTACAAGTATGTTGGATATACCTCACCTAATAGTTGAAGCTGACAGGTACCTATTTCATGTGTAACTGACTTAATTGTTGAAGCTGACAAGTACCTATCTCATGTGTAACTGACCTTATTGTTGAAATTGACAAGTATCGTTGATATCCACTGGAGGATATAGACGAAGGGCACGGCGTTGGTGTCTATCTTGTACCAGGTGTCCAGGAGGGTAGTTTCTATGTTCATGCTCTGGAGCGCCTCCCTCAGCAGTAAGAATTCGCTGCCCAGGATTACCGCGGGTATGGGGCGGTACCCGTACTTCTGCCCCCCAAAAAACTGAACAAAATATGACATTAGAAATTAAGGTTTATTATGAACGCCATTATGTTTTGAAAATACAAAAACATTGTTTTGGTGAACGTCGTATATATTTTTTCATTGTACCGATTTTACTAAAAATGTGGTGAATGGTGATGACCGATGTTGTAATGTAAAATTTTACAACAAAGCAGGTGGTTTGTAATAAGTTGGATTACATTAAATTTAGGATTAAACTAGAAAATCTTCAATTGAATTTGTTATAAGTACATTTACAGCCTTCAATGTTTTTTTTAAGTACAACTTCAATTTTGACCAACATTAGTGGAGGATATTAAGTGGGTTCACAGAATTATGAATAAGAGTCGAGGATAATTATTAAAAACAGAAAATACGACCATATATATGGAACCTAGAATATATATTTTTTAAATTTATATATCTGTACAACGAAATAATTAAAAGGTGTTTTGTGTTAACATTAACTCCAGAAGTTATCCTTGCTAATAAAAAGATCTAACGGGAGCTAGACTGCAGGATCATATCTCATTTGGAGCCCTTATTCAAACTATATTATTTTATCAACATTACCGAAAATGAATCCCGATAGGGATCAAGTCAAGGTGGTTTTCACAAAAAATATAATTAAAGTGGAGCATATTAAGATGAAGTTTAGATTAAAAATATAATTGTAAAGAGTATGTTCAGGTGAAGTCTCGATCAAAATTTGTAATACAAAACATACATGACTCACTTTTATCATATTTGTCAGCTAAGAGGGCCGTGGGGCCCCGATCATGAAGTTTATATAAAAAACATGAAAATTGGGAGCATATTTAGGCGAAGTTTTGACCAAAAATGATACTTTGAAGCAAATTTGACTCATATTTTTATCATATATGTTAGCTAAGAGGCCGATGTCTTACGACGAAGTTGGGCCACATCACACATCACATGAAGGGTGGTGATGGGAACACCCACCCACATGGTGATGTGTGGGTGGGCCACGTCACACATCACCACCCACATGAAGGGATCACATCAAGTTGGTTTTCACAAAAATATGATTATATGGAGCATAATGAGATGAAGTTTAGATAAAAATATGATAATATAAAGCATATATGACTCATATTTCCATCATATTTGTTATATAGCTAAGAGGGCCGTGGGGCCAGATCTCCTATACGACGAAGTTTGGCCACATCACACATCACCACTCACATGAAGGGATCACATCAAGGTGGTTTTCACAAAAATATGATTATATGGAGCATAATGAAATGAAATTTAGATAAAAATATGATAATATAAAGGATATTCGACTCCTATTTCCATAATATTTGTCAGCTAATAGCCCCGTGGGGCCAGATCTCCTACGACGAAGTTTGGCCACATCACACATCATCACTCACATGAAGGGAACACATCAAGGTGGTTTTCACAAAAATATGATAATATGGAGCATAATGAGATGATGTTTAGATAAAAACTATGATAATATAAAGCATATATGACTCCTATTTTCATCATATTTGTTAGCTAAGATGCCACGGGACCCGATTTCTTACGACGAAGTTGGGCCCCATAGAGAGGCGCTGACAGTTGCGGATCTCGCGCATGCAGAGCTCCGTCGTCAAGTGTTCGTCTGTTGCTTCGTCCCGCACACCCCATCTCATGTCCACCACATGTGGGAAGTGATAGATATATATTTATACATATTTATACCATTTATGCAAGTTTTATTGAAGACCAGAGCGTATTTCTTATTAATGATTTTCTTATTAATTTTTCTCGATGCTGCGAACTGGGCTTTTTGCGGGATTTGAAAGTGCGAATATAAGGTTTCCAAATGACATTTTATTTGACTTATGCAGCATCGCAATATGCACAGTTGTACACTCGCAAGATACGTGAATATAAATTGAAATAAAACAACCGAAAAAAGATACATGATTATTAATTGAAATAATACAGTCTAAAAAATACCTGGAACTCGAGTCCATGCTTCTCCCTGCAATATTCCTTGAGCTTGGGGTACACCTCCGCCATGAGGGTGTTGCGCTCCATCCCCATGTCTGGGGGAACAAGGGGCGGGTGTTATGGGGGAACATGGGGGTAAAATTATTATTTTACCGGATTTTTAGGGATTATTGAGATAAAATTTTTAGAGAAATACGTTGTAAAGAAGAGGGGAGAAAGTTACTCTTGAGGGGAGAGACTTACCGGTAAGGGGAGAGACTCACCCGTGAAGGGAGAGACTCACCCGTGAGGGGAGAGACTCACCCGTGAGGGGAGAGACTCACCCGTGAAGGTGGATGAGGTGAAGATGCGCAGGATCTTGGAGCTGATGGGTGGCAGGTTGGCCAGAGACCCGCAGAATATCCTGTCCACCGTGCGGTCGTCCATTGTTGGGGGAGGGTAGTTGTGGGGGAGGGTTGTTGTGGGAGGGAGGGGGGTTATCTTGAAAGGAGGTTAGTTGTGGGGGGTTAGCTTGAAAGGAGGTTAGTTGAGGGTTAGTTTGGTGGGAGGTTAGTTGTATGGGAGGAAGGGAGGTTATAGTTGTTAGGCAGGTTAGTTATTTGAGAAAGTATTTATTGGGGGGTTAGTAGTAGGAGAGGTCGATTGTGAGGAATCTTCGGCTAAGGGGCGCTCGTTCCCTCCCTCCCTGCCTAGTTGCTGCAATGCCTATAATTTAATATTGATAATCAAACGCTCATATTTGAATGTTTAATGAACACATATCATGGATTTATATCACTTCGTATTATGCACGTAATAACTATGCAATGAAGAATTAAATATTCTGTAATATAAATATATAAATTACCTTAATGAGTTTAGTACGGCGCTCCTGCTATTGTAACCTTGCAAATAAATATAATGTTGTCTCTAGCACTAGCAGTACGTCATATACTGTAGATCAAAACCACCTACTTATGTACTAGAAGCGCACGGCCAGTCAAAAGGAAATGTATTGTTTCAAGTGTATTAGTATTTAGATTAGGTGCTTGTTTCATGAGTATTAGTATTAGGATTATGTGCAGCGTTGAACAAGTTCTTTGTATGTATTAAGTGTAAAAAATTAGAACTACAAGCGAGGTATTTCTTGCGTGCAGATGCATGGTATCTATGTAGAGCTCAGAGTTACCATCAGCGTTTACAAGTATTCGCAATACTCAGTTTGTACTCAGGTTCAATACTATACAGTTAAACTGAACATTTATAATAATTGCATGAATTTATAATCCAAATCATGTTAAAGACAGAAATATATTCAAGCCATTTATGCATGTGTAGATATGTCTTTATTGAGTATCACTGAAGAGCAGCGTATATAACTGTATAACACCGGGTATTAATGCACAACAGCTGGTATTACTGTACAACAGCTGGTATTACTGAACAACAGCTGGTATTACTGCACAACAGCTGGTATTACTGAACAACAGCTGGTATTACTGCACAACAGCTGGTATTACTGTACAACAGCTGGTATTACTGTACAACAGCTGGTATTACTGCACAACAGCTGGTATTACTGCACTACAGCTGGTATTACTGCACAACAGCTGGTATTACTGCACAACAGCTGGTATTACTGTACAACAGCTGGTATTACTGTACAACAGCTGGTATTACTGCACAACAGCTGGTATTACTGCACAACAGCTGGTATTACTGCACTACAGCTGGTATTACTGCAC